CCCCCAGCCGGCTAGCCTCAGGCGCCAAAAAGCCTAGGGGCACCACTAATGACCGTAATCATTCACAACTAACTTTTCTGTTTTAAGGATAAGGTTGCGCAAGCTTAATTTTTTTTTCCATTTCAGGCTCATACTTGTGGATATTTAAAAGAAAAAAAAAAACTTGTCAATTACTATATAGCTTTAACAAGCATTTTTAAATCTTTAATCACAACAGAAGAAAGCCAAATCAAAGGGCTGGTAATGTTACAGACCACAGATTACAGTTAAAAAAAAGCCCTTTGGGTAATTTCTAGGCCTTTATTTCAGTGTTCTAATCGACTGAGATCATTAGTGCTAGGGATGCAATCGATACAATTTTCATGAGATGCCCCAATACTGGTGCTTTAAATGTTTAAATAGGAGCGGTTGCCGTAAGTTCCCCTGCTTGCTGGGGATTTGCGGCGGCTGTCTTTTACAGTGCTGGTCCAGACGCACACATCTCCTCCTTCCCACTGCCCACATGCAGCCCTGGTGACGCCCGCCGTACAGCCTTGGTGAGCCTGCACAGCCGTGGTCCAACCCTGCACAGCCTTGGTTAGACCCGCACAGCCTCCTGAGATGCCACACAGCCCTGGTGAGCAACGGAGTATGTAGCTTCATATTATTCTGCATTGGTGTGTAATGTATTGCTGGGATTTGTAGTCATCTGTAGTTGATGGTATACTACATTGTTGTATAATGTATTGCTGGGATTTGTAGTCCTACATAGCTAGTGCCATTCTGCAATGCTGTATAATGTATTGCTGAGATTTGTAGTCTTATGTAGCTGAAGGTATTCTGCATTGCTTTATACTGTATTGCTGAGATTTGCAGTCCCTCTACAGCTTAGAGTCAGTGGCAGAACTACTAGAGTCGCAGCGATTGCAGCTGTGACTGCGCCCTGGTTCTCCACCACTGCCTTAAAATTATTAGTCCGCACTGTTTTAGAAAAACTGTCACATGATGCTAAAAAAAGATATAGTTCTGGGGAAAAATGGTATCGGTAATCATTCCTGATGCAGCCAGGAGCCCAAAGTATTTTGCAGTGGATGTTGTATACACACATGGATGCTAACATTATAAATATCAATACAAGCTTTTTTTCTAAGTTTGTTAATTAAAAAACACATTATATGCTTTTGGCACATAGTCTTGTTTGCCTAATTAGAAATCCAGTAACGGGTTCAAAAAACTGTGTATGCCTGATTCAACAGATGTGGTAAGACATTGCCCATCTCTCTTCATTAAAATTGCACTGGGTTTTGTAAATAATTCCTTGAAATGGTATGTGCTTAGAATATATTTTCTAGTAAATGAATTCATTACTAATAACTCAATATTAGGCACT